TATTTTTTATTTAAAAAATAAAAATAAGGCTGGCTGCAGTGGCTCACCCTCATAATCCCAGCATTTTGGTAGTATGAGGTGAGAGGATTGCCTGAGCCCACGGGTTCAAGACCAGCCTGGGCAACTTGGTGAGACCTCATCTCTACAATAAATCAAAAAGCCATACGTGGTGATGTGTGCCTGTAGTTCCAGCTATTTGGAAGGTTGAAGCGAAAGGATTGCCTGAGCTCAGCAGGTTGAGGCTGCAGTGGCCATGAGCATGCCACTGCACTCCAGCCTGGGTGACAGAGTGAGACTCCAACTCAAAAAAAAAAAAAAAGGAATTGGTCCTCTACTTTTCTGTGTGCATTTTTGAGAAGATGATATACTGGGCTTCAGGGAGTTTATATTTGTATCTCTTTTGGTGCTGTTCATGGGAACATGAATGGTCACTTGCTAGTTGGTAGAGCAAATTGTTTGAAAGTGGTGACTGAGATAAAATAATATTTTATTACCATTCCTTTTACCCTGGAAGCTCCTTTCTAGTGTTTTTGTTTTTTCTCCGTCAGAGGTCCAGGGTAAATAAATACAGTAGATGGAATTAGCAAGGAGAAGTGTGGGATACCGAGAAGAGGACTTTTTAGTTGTGCAAAAATGATTGGTAGCTAAAAGGCATTTTGTCTTTGATGTTCGTGACAATTATTTGAAGTGGAAGATGATAGTATTTTATTTTCAGATGAAGAAACTGATGCTCAGGAAAGTTATGTGAATAAAGGGATAATTTTCAGGAAATTTTTTTGTCTTTTTGAGTGTCATGCTCAAGTATTCTGTTCATTTCTAAGCTGTTTCTGTAGTGGGTGCAAGAAAGCAACTCAGGAAACTGTGCTGATACAGGGCTCCCTCCTAGCCTTCCTCCAGATTCCTCACATATTAACGTTTTGCTACATTTGTTCTGTTTCTCCTACATATAGATATGCGCACACACAGCTTTTTTCTTGAATTTATAGCCAAAATGTTCCCATGCCCCTAAATACTTTAATGTGTATTTCCCAGAAACAAGGACTTTTTTTTTTTTTACATAACCACAGTACATGTCTTAAAATCAGGAAATTGTCATTGATTCAATTCTATTATCTTATCTATGGAACCTCATCAGGATTCACTGATTATCCCAATAGTGTAGGGGATAGATTTGTCAGGCTCAACAGACCTTCATGAAGGGTGATGTCACATGGCTGAGCTGACCCGTGACTTGAAACCAGAGCGATTGTCTCACCTGCTTTCTGGAGGTGGCTGACAGGCATGAACTCTGGACGTATTTGTCTGCCCTGTGCCCCGCAGAGAATAGCAGGGAGTGAATTGCTGCTTGTTTTTGCCATGTGGCCTTCCTAGGCCTGATAGCAGAATGGCACGTGCCAGATACCCAGACTTCTTTTGGAGGGATCCTTGTCTCCTCACTCAGCTCTGTTTAAGGTCTTTCATGCATGCTAAGCAGGTGTAGGAGCTGAATTAAGATGGTAGAAGTTTGTATACATACTGATTGTGCTGGTTTGTTCTTAGGTACTAGAAATCGTTTGGGCAGCATCCACTTAACATTTCGGAGTGTCAATGTTTTATTATGGTTGCCCTAGGGATGTAAAAGTGGCTGTTTATAGACCTTTTTATTGCTTGTTTGAAACCTACTTGGTACATTATTTCCTTAAGAGATGCTGTCTTGCTCTGTCGCACAGGCTGATGTGCAGTGTGTACGATCATAGCTTGCTGCAGCCTCAACCTCCTGGCCTCAAGCAGTCCTGCTGCCTCAACCTCCTGAGTAGCTGGGACTACAAGTGTGTGCCGCCATACCTCATTTTCCTTGGTGTTCTTAAACATGTCTTAAATGTTTCTTGTGGACTGCCTCCAGCTATGGTTTCAATATGGAGACATCACATCATTTCTCATGGTCTGTATGCTGACGATTTCTCTGCACTCATCACTCTTCCCTAGATAGCTGTGTGGTTTGTCCCTGACTCCTTCAATCACTGCCAAATACAGCTTTCCTCACCCCCTCACCTGTACTCCCTCCTTCTTCCCCTAGTTGTCTCCATAACATGTACCACCAGTGTACACAATGACCTTCCATGCAGTTAGTTACCTAGACATTCCAGCCTTCCTAGCCCCGTTCCTCTTGACGTCTCTGAAGCAGTTGGTACTGTTGGATATCTTTTCTTTAAAACCTGGGCAGCGAGACCTCATTTCTACAATAAATTAAAAAAAAAAATCAGCCGGGCATGGTAGCGCATGCCTGTAATTCCAGCTACCTGGAAGGCTGAGGCGGAAGGATCGCCAGAGCCCAGCAGGTCGAGGCTGCGGTGGCCAGGAGCAGCCACTGCACTCCAGCCTGGGTGACAGAGTGAGACTCTAACTCAAAACAAAAACAAAAACAAAAAAACCCCTGTCCTCTCACTGTGCACTGCTCTCATTTTCTCCCTGAGACTCAGTGCTCTGCGCTGTTTGTTCTTGGGCCTGCCACTGTCATTGCCAATGCACATCATGTGTGTCTCTGTCCATTGGCACTCTGGTCCTGCCTTCTTAGTTGCTTCTGTCATTTGCAGCCCTCAACAGTCCTCTTGCAGAGCCTTCTGATTCACAGGATCTTGATGCTCTGTGTCCCAGGTGCAGCACTGCAGACCCGTTCTCTGCCTGCTCTGTTGTTACTGCATTTTCTGTCACTGAATCCTTGTCAGGTCTTTCTGGTGATTTTGTTCTTTTTTATTTTTAAAACCACCACTTAGCACAGTCGGTGTGTGAGAGTGAATCAGGAAGTATTCTGAATGTGTGGTTGAAGGCTTGTCAGTGTGGTTAAACCCTCCTGTTCACACTATGATCTGAATAGCGGCTGAGGCTTCCCATGAGCTTGTTAGGAATGCAGATGTTCAGGTGCCCTGTCTCTGCAGACTGACTGTGTTTCTGTGATATCCCCATGATGTGTGCACACCCTGGAGCTTGGGAGACACTAACTGAGGAGGTCCCTGTGCACTTCTTAGTTATCTTGTCTTAGTTTGTGTCTCAACTGCTAAAATAATTAAACCCTCCAGCTATTAATCTGTGTGTAACTATTTACCTTAGAGTAATGTGTAGTTTCCAGACAGACTGTGGTAAGGGTGAGAAATAATGAGACAGTGGAGTAGCTAGGAGACAGCTCTGTCTGGACAGTCACAGATATTCCCATGGGTGTGTGCCGTTCATGGATGTCTTTTCTCAGACTTAAAAGCAGGATACTTTGGGATAAGATGTATATACATAATCTGCTTCCTGTGTAATTGAGGAATTTGGGGGACATGTTTTGTTTTACTATAAAACAACTACTGACTGTAATGTTTTGTAGAGTAACTGTCACCGTCAGACAAAAAGCATGTACTTAAAACAGAAGCTTGCATTTTCTAAAAAAGCTTGTTTTTATTGATACCTCCTACTGTATCTATATTTTTCTTTCTCTCTCTCTCTCTCTTTCTTTCTTTCTTTTATTTTTTTTACTCTGTCACCCAGGCTGGAGTGCAGTGACACAATCTTGGCTCAGTGCAGCCTCAACTTCCTGGACTCAGATGATCCTCCCTCAGTCTCCTGAGTAGCTGGGACTACAGGCATGTGCCACCACTCCTGGCTAATTTTTATTATTTTTTTGTAAAGATGCTATGTTGCACGGGCTGATCTTGAACTCCTGGGCTCAGGCAATCCTCCCACCTTGGCCTCCCAAAGTGCTGGCATTATAGGCGTGAACCACCATGCCTACCCTATATTATATTTTCATAATCAAGTAGTTTATAGAAGTTTGTTAGGTATAAACTTCTGAATATTTAGCATAAGTTTCAGATAATACTTTCATTTTTCCATTTTTACTTTATTAATTATATAAGCAATATGTCAAAATAATCATAAGAAAATTTAAAATGATCATGAAGAATACAATCAAAGGTATGAAGAAAACATCTAAGGCTTGTATTCTTGTATACATATGTGAACTTTTCAGTAGTGTTTTCCAGAATTTTTTGATCATGACCCAAGAGTAACATTTTACAGCTTGCCCCGGTTCATATATACATATTACATGTTTCTGAGGCGAAAGTTTGTGGCTTTGCCCTAGTACAGGAAGCCCAGTGTCACTGATGTGCTCCACACCCTGTGGCATTTTCCTGGCAACAACCTCCTTATCCCTCTCCACCAGCTGCTTGCATTCATGATGTAGGTGGAAAACTGTAATTAACACACAGTGTGCTGTTGTTTGACATATCTCTCAGCATATGTAAATGGTTCCAGCTACATGTACTTATCTGTAGCCTTTCTTAGACTCAGGTTTGACAAGTGAGATCAGCCATGTTGAAAGAAGGCTTCCTGGAATCTTGTTGCTTCTCGTTCTTGCTAACACTTAGCGTTAGTAGATTAAAACATTTTGTTTCAATATGTTTGGTGCAAAATGGAGGTCACTGTCGTTTTAAAGGACATTTTTCCTAATTCCCAGTGAAATTGTGCATATTTTCATGTTAATTGGCCATACATTACTTCTTGAATTTCCCATTCTTTCTTTTTTTTTTTTTTGCCCATTTTTCTTTTGGGTTGGTTGTCTTTTTCTTATTAATTGTATGTTTCATTTCTTTAAATATCTTTGCTTTCTTATTTGTTGTTAGTCTTCTAAGCAGTATCTTGTACTTTTAATAAAGAAATTACTTTTTACTATGGGATATTACTACTCCTGATTCAAATATGTTGAGTGAAAAAACTTTGCATAAATTAGTACAAAATCTTATACAGATTGAGGGAAAGTTTCTAGGAAAACAAAATTAGTAAGATCACTAAGACTCTTGAAGGTTGCCAGAGAAGACACGTCTTCTTTTCAAGCTGCTGTCAGTACCATTTGAAAATTCAAGTGTATGATTTCTGTAAGCCTCCACAGTTATATAAAAACCAGGATGCTTTTAATACGCTGTCATGATATTTATTTTAGTGTTTAATGCTTGCTTTTTTTGTTTCTTCTCTTTAATTAGGTCCCCGATGGGCTTCCTGGAATATTGGTGTTTTTATTTGCATCAGATGTGCTGGAATTCATAGAAATCTTGGGGTTCATATATCCAGGGTTAAATCAGTCAACTTAGATCAATGGACGGCAGAACAGATACAGGTAAATAATACTTTACCAATAAATTATTAAAAATACTTAAAATAATTTCAGAATGTTTAACTCTTCTTGCAGCTAAGGATTAGCATTGAAAACTAGTACTGTTATTGAGATGACATATACCACAAATAAAATTTGACTGTTGGTCGGGCATGGTGGCTTATACCTGTGATCATAGAACTTTTGGAGGCTGAGGCAGGAAGAGTACTTGAACCAAGGAGTTCAAACCAGCCTAGGCAACGTAACGAGAACTTATCTCTACAAAATAGTTTAAAGGTTAGTCAAGTGTGTAGCACACACCTGTAGTCCCAGCTACTGGGTAGGCTTAGGTGAAGGGATCCCTTGAGCCCAGGAGGTTGAGGCTGCAGTGAGCTGTAAGCATGCCACTGCACTCCAGTCTGAGTGACAGAGTGAGACCTTGACTCTGTGACTGGTCAGTTCAGAGATATTTATTTCTTTTTGGGTCTATAGTAATGCCAGTTTTTAATGAATTTTATCTAAAATATTTACTTTAAAGTATTTAAAAAATACTATTTCTTTTGTTGATGAAATTTGTCAGTATAATTCCATCGTTTGTTTTATTTTCTTGTCAGTAGAGGGAGCCTGCATAAAGATAAAGAAAGAAACCACTTCTAATCTAGAAGGAGTTCCCTTCTGTAAAGAGGTGTTCTTGGTTTTCAGACAGGGCCTTATAGTTAGAAGACACAGCCCAGTGACCAGTCTAGATTTGTTGAGAGTATTTTAACTTTGGTAACAGATATCATGATGTTGTCCCTTTTTTTGTTTTGTTTTTTTTTTTTGGAAATGGAGTCTTACTATATTGCCCAGGCTGGTCTCAAACTCTTGGGCTAAAGCAGTCCTCCTGCCTCAACCTCCTGAGTAGTTGGGACTATAGGTGAGCACCTCCATACTCAGCTGATGTTGTAAATCTTTTTCAGGAAAATGCAAGGTGTAGCTTGACAGTATCACTTGGTATTTGTAACGGGTTGTGGAGAGACATTTAAGGCCAAGTGTCTTTTGCCTTTTTGATGGTTCATTTTCAAGCCAAGGACAAAACATGAAATCTCTTAACAATTCAGTTCTTTAAAACTTTTTCTTAATAGGTTGTTGAGAGGCAGTGAATAGCAGGTTATTTGGGATGGGCAGCTATATACTTTGGAGCAGAACTTTCTGCTCACTGGTTTTTCTTTGGAATAGGTTACAGGTACATGGAAAAATAATAGATTTTTAAAAATACAGGGAATAGCCAGTCTCGGTGGCTCAGCCTGTAATCCTGTGCCTTTGGGAGGCTGAGGTGAGTGGATTGCCTGAGCCCGCGGGTTCAAGACCCGCCTGGGCAACTTGGCGAGACCTCATCTCTACAATAAATAAAGAAATTAGCCGGGTGTGGTAGCGCGTGCCTGTAGTTTCAGCTACTCAGAGGGCTGAGGCGGAAGGATCGCCGGAGGCCAGCAGGTCGAGGCTGCAGTGGCCGGGAGCGGCCACTGCACTCCAGTCTGGGCGACAGAGTGAGATTCCAACTCAAAAAAACAACAACAACAACAAAAAACAGGGATTTTAAAAACAATAAGTTATGCAATATTTGAAATTGTATTTAATAGCTCTTGTTTGGTTCTACCCTCCAACTTAACAAGATAAGAATTATTATTTTGGAATGCTAGACTTGCTGATAAGCACTTGACCCCAAGGATTCTCTGTCTGTGCCCCACAGAGCTCCTCTTCCAGGTGTGCGTGGTGAGATGTAAGGTTGAGCCGTACTCAGACATCAGATCAGTAGAAAGAAAGTTTTACTTTAAAAACATAGAGGTGCCTAATCCCATGGTCAGATGGCCGGCTGGTACTTCTGTTACCACAAAAGGCCTTGGAGCTCTTGCAGGCACAGTGGTGTCATTTTCCCGTTGCTGCTGTGCAGTAGAAGTGAGTCATTGGTGAAAACTCCACAGTTCCAAACAGTAAAGCACAATTTTTATTTTGACCTAGAAAATTTCAAGGCAACTGATTCTCAAGAGGTGGTGGAACAGGGTGCTTATGACGGTGTCTCTAGAGTCAGACTGCTAGTCAGACCTGTATGGTCGCTGTAGGATACTTTGCCTCAGGTGCCCCTATTTCTTTGTTTATGAGATGAGAACAGTACTGGTGTCTGCTTTTGATGTTGCTGGGAGGCTCAGATAGGTTAATATGGGTCAATTTAGACGGTACCTGGCACATTTTAGGCACTCGATGAATGTTAGCTTGTTAGTTCGTAGTAGTGTCAGTGCATCTGTTCCTCAGGTAGGCCCTTCAGTGCCACTGCCTTGGAGGACTTTCTGATCTTAAGTAGCTTAGCTTCATTATCCATCTGTCTGATGAATCAGTTATTAAATGTGCTACTGAGAAAATAAAAAGATCGATCCATTGTGTGGTATTGTTGAATATAAATGGATTTTTTTGCGAATATTTGCACAAATAATTATTTCATTTTTAGTAGCATTGGGTGTTAAGGCATTTTGAGGTGTGTAGTTAGTTGTGTCCATTTTCTGTTGCAGTGGTTTCACATATCCTGTTTCCTTGGTGGTATGTATGCTCCATAGAATTCAGTTCTCTCTGTACCTTGGCTCCTTCATTTCTTTGTTTTCCTCTTTGTCTTTTTTTGAAAAATTGAGGTATGATTACTGAGAGAACGATTCACAGATCTCAGTGAGTTTTATGAGTCTTGGCAAATGTCTATTCTGTGTCATCAGTAGCCCATATAGGTAGAGTGTTTCCATCACCCCAGAAAGTTCTCTTTTGCCAGTTTCCTGTTAAGGCCCCCAGGGGAAACACTACTGATTTCTGCCCCTTAGGTTGGTTTTGCTGTACATTGAAATGTCTTTCTTTCAGAGGCCATTCCTGTTATCTTGGCTTCTTACTTCAAGATAGGAAAAGTAATGATCTCATTGTGATGCAGCATGCTATACTCATGAGATATTTTATAAGAATTTCTTTGCTATGAAACATGCTTAGCAAGTGTTTATTTGTAGAAGTAAGAGAAATGCTTTTTCTGAATGTAGTTCTACCCTTGTCTTCCCTGCCATCACACCCAGCATTCTGTGGTAATTGCTTTCCTAACTTTCGGTGTTCTGTATTAATAAATGTGGAAACAGGATTTAATCAAAGCCCAGTCAAGCTATTAAATAAAAATGTTCTCTGTGTGTGTGTGTGTGTGTGTGTGTGTGTGTGTGTGTGTGTGTGCGCGCCGCGCGTGTGTATGTGTGATTCTGTAAAAAGTAACTACTAAAATTTCTCTCAGTGTTACTTATAAACTGATATATGTACATATTTTATCAGTTATTTATATATGTATTGTGTGTATTTGTCAATTTTTAGGACATCTACAGTTTGTATTTACTGTGTTGGAATTGCTGTGTGCTTATTTTTAAAAGAAAATAATTTGTTTATCAAAACTTATTTTGATTTTTATTAATATAGAAATGAAGTTATTTACCTTAAGAACGTCTTTATTTTCTTCAGTGTGATTAATAGTCAGATTAAATGTCTTTGATCTGGTTTATTGTCAGGTACTTCTGAAATTTTTGGAAAGGGCCAACTTTTTCATACTTTTATAAATACTATAGTTTTTGTGTTTATGTATTTTATTTTTTATTTTCATTTTTGAGTTGGAGTCTCACTCTGTCACCCAGACTGGAGTGCAGTTGCCGCTCCCGGCCATCGCAGCCTCGACCTACTGGGCTCCAGTGATCCTTCCGCCTCAGCCTTCCAAGTAGCTGGAACTACAGCTGTTGAGTACAACGCTTAGTGAGCCCTTGTTCATACTGGAAAATGTACTTCATGTATTAGGTGTTTATCTTCTGGGGCTACTTTTAGTACTTTATTGAAAAATTCTTTAGTGAGCATGAGATGCTTTTTTCACTTTTCGAGAGCGTTGCTTACTGATGTGAGGCTCACTATTTTTTTGGCAGCATCAAGCTCATCCAATGAACAGGCATCTGTTTTTGTAATGTGGTTTGAACTTGCCCGTCCTGCAAAGTGTGAGCCTGCCTCTGCTGTCTGTGGGTTTCTGTTCCTCTATTCATCTTCACAGTTCACTTTGTGCTCTCTCTGTCCTAGCTAGAAGGCAGTCCTAGCTAGAGCCAGGCTCTCTTCATGGCTTCATTCCTTCTGGTAGCGGGAGTTAGAGACTATGCCTTCCTCTTCAACCTTTGGATGTTTTTGCCTGTCCTCTGCTGTCTGTCCTCTTGGCTCAGGGCCGGGAAGGAGGATGCTGGTGGTCTGGGTCCTCTGTTTGCTTCTCATTCCCAGCTTCCTTCCTACCTTCCACCCTGTGGAAGACAGTGTATTCCTTACAGCGTCTTTATACACCCTTCTCTGGAACTCATTTCCTGCCAGTTTCTTCGGAAGAGGCTCCCTGCCTTTCCTGCCTGGCCCTTGACCCTTCTGTGCATGTGGGCTTGCTGGCCACCAGCGGGCATGGGCCAGTGTGTTCAGTGTCATAGCTTCTAGCCCTCCCCTCCTGTTACCTTGAGCTTCTTGAGGAGGCCCTTGGCCTGCTGTTCCCCACCCCCTCGTCCCCTCTCCCCGCAGCCTCTGCCAACTGTTTCCCTCCCCACCACCCTGCTGTGCTGTCCCAGTAGCCTAGCCCCTTCCTGCTCTATCTGCTCCCCATCCCCCTTTGCTGGTCTCTGCCTCACTGAACACCTTGCTGCTGCCTTCTTGACACTTTCTTTGTAAAGGAAGCTAAGATTTCTATCCCACATCTCTTTCTTTAGTCATTGTATTTTGTTATTTCTTTTTCTGCTTTTCCTTTTTTTCCTGGTGGTTTTCTCCATTTATGTCTTTTCTTTTTCTATCTCCATGCGAAATCTCAGTTATGCTTATGGATTCAGTAGTTATTTTTTGGTGCAGATGGTTCTATTTTCTCAGTTGTGACTTGCAGTAGGCCAATGACTTGTCCTTTTTTCAGTTTGCCTAAGAGACCTTTGGTGTTCATGGATTTTTTCTTAGAGCTGTTGGATATCCACAGCATG